AATATTTCCCCTGTAGAAAAACAAGCCCGATTTAACCCTACGTGCAGCCGAAATTAACGATACGGCTGTTGCTGAAGGACGTCACACTCCTGGCACGCGCTGGTTTATCAAAAACCACAGGATGCGGGGGTAACCTGAAGGCTTGTGAAGCAAGGTCTCCTGGTGACGGGCCCCGCCGTACGCAGGCGTGCATACCGCAGCGCACGTGGGACGAAGGAACGGGAAGTCCCACGGGGCCCGACAAGCGTGTGAGGGGTGTGCCGGAATTCGGAGGTGCCACCATGCGGGCGCCGGCACTGGCGCCGTTGGTGGAGCTCCCTCTGGGCTCTGGGGCCACGAAGCGTGTGCCGAAACGAGGCACCGACGCCATGTGGACCCTGTCATTTGGGCCTTAGCTGGAGGCATCTACCACGAAGCGCATGAGGAACGTGCCGAAGTTGGGCACCGAAGCGCATCAGGAGTGTGCCGAGATTGGACACCGACGCCATGCGGACCATGGCATTTGGGCCTCAGCAGCGGGCATCGCACGAAAATATCGGTACCTGCGTGGCTGCGGATGCTGCGTAGCCAGCTCCCTTCCGGCAGGCTGTGCTGCAACGGCAACGGAGATATGCACAAGTGGGGGGATAAAAAACTTCGCCGGGGCCTCCCAGGGGGCCTCCTGGCGGAGGGCATGCATGCACGGATCTGGAGGGAAAAGGAGCGATAGCGATGACCAGGACTTAGCGCGGAAGCGTCGGAGCCAATCGTGGTCAGCGACCATCCTGGTCATCGCCATTTCGCGGACCATTCTCGCGAATAGGCGACGGCCAGCATGGACCATGACCGAAGTCTGCATCGACAAGATCCCGCGAGACCCTCGTCATGGTCATCGTGCTTTCTCCCTCGAGGATTCCTGGCAGCTGACTGCACCTACAATTAGGTCGGGCATGTCCCCCTACAGGCGAATTTTGGACGAAACAAATACATAGTCAAACATACTCACACATAGTCTACACATACTAAAAACAATCGTCCCCAGCGTTTATATATATATATATATAATTGTTTTACGTTGCTTCCATACTTTAAAACACACGATGTCTGAACGTTCCTTCCGTAGAGGGACATGCTCGACTTAAACCTACAAAAAGTTCTGCTAGGCCGCGCTCGCCGAGGCGCACGCGCGCCGCGCAGGGGGGCGCTGATCCGGCGGCACCGCAGGTGGGGACCCTGCTGTTGAGCAGGGGCCGACCGACCCAGCATTCCGACAGGCCTACCACGACATGTTCTTAGAGCCCCAAAAAATTCTAAGAACGAAAATATGGTTCTCAGAACACAAGCCCGATGTGTTAAAACAAGGCAGCCCCCGCCAGAACATTTCTGGGAACATGTCGTGCAAACCACAGAAAGGGTTCTTAGAACATCCTTTTGGTGGGCCTACCGGCGCGCCAGGACGCTTCGCCACTGCTTGATGCTGGGAGACGCCCGCTCTGCGGCCCGGTGTGCACATGGCCTCCGGCGCCTCGGGCGCTTCGAGCTGACAGCCGCCCCCCCCGATCGGGGATCTCCTGGCCCGGGTTCCTCCTCCTCCTCCCCCTCCTCCTCCTCCCCCTCCTCCTCCTCCTCCTCCTCCTCCTCAGGTGAGTCAGGCCTCGCAGACTCCTGCGAGATCCTGCACCCAAGCCCGGTTCAGTGCGAAGGCTCCTGCAAGAGATCCTGCAGGATCCTGCGCCCAAGCCCGGGCCAGTGCGACCCTGGCCTTGCAGGAGATCCTTTAAGATCGGGCGCTCTGGCTGACCCCCGTTTGCATTGACCCCCGTCTCAAGGCCCGCCTCAGCATTGACAGCATCGCGACGGCGAGAATTTGGGCTGCATCTGCCTCTGGGGCCTCGCCCGGCCCCATAGGGCCGTCACACAAAACAGCTCGCGGGAAGGAGCCGGCTCCTTGGAAAAGATCCCACGTTGTGTGGAAATCACGGCGTCGGATGTCTGATTCCCGACCCCACGGGACCTGGGGCCCTGGGGTCACCTGAATTCGCGCCTCGCGCCCGGGGATGCGCGGCGCACGATCTCCCTGGCGCCATCGGGCCCTCGCGCCAACCCCCCTTGGAACAGGGCAGCCGCTCCGGCTGGCCCAGGCGGCGACGCGCAATTGTCTTCGGGTTCCTGGGGGTGACCCAGGGGACCAGGTAGGCATCCTGGAAGGATGTCTGACGGTCCCAGAGGGCTCACAAGCGGGCCCCCTCCCCAGCCCGAAGAATGGCGAATCCCTCTAGCACAGTCTGTCGCGAGCCGCCAGGGAGTCTGGCCAGGCACTTCTGCTAGAGGCCTCCCAGATGGGGTCGGAGTAGATGGGGTCGGAGGATCACACCGCATCGCCGATACATCGGCGATGCATCGGCGATGCATCGGCGATGCACCGGCGATGCACCGGCGATGCACCGGCGGTGCATCGTCGACGTCGACGTGAAGCAAATCGGGCTGCACATCGAGCCGCATCGCCGATGTATCGGCGATGCGGCGCGATCCTCCGACCCCATCTATTCCGACCCCATCTGGGAGGCCTAGATCTGTCCCGCCTCCCCAACCAAGAGGGAGGCGGGCCACACTGGCACATCCCACCACGGAGTGGAGCAGGGATCCTGAATCTCGGCGCCGAGTCTGCGCGCAGAGCGGCCCCATGGCAGTCAGTGGGCTGGCCAGCGCAACGCGGCCGAAGGGAGGGAGGGAGGTGGAAAAGGACCCAGACCTCCCGACATTGTGGTTCCGACACGACGTAGGCCCCAAGAGATGTAGACCGCCTCCTCAGGACCCGCTTCTCACCCCGAGTCGTTGTTCAGGGCCCGGTATCGTGCCCCCGGGGGCCGAGAATGACCCACAGCCCTCCGTCGCGATGTTTCGCAATGCGAGGCAAGCTGGGACCCGGACTCCCTCGGGCCACGAAAGAAGAAAACGAGCAACATTTGACGATGTCGGCCGACACCTGTCCCGGGCCATCGGAGTGACGGCCCCAGAAGAGAAACGAGTCTCCCGGAGAAGGGGTCGCGACCTCTGGGGTTCACGTCATGTGCTGTCGCGAGATAACCACATGTCCGACGACACGACGTTTGCAGTCCCGGCGCTGTTCGTCCATATCTGCCTCTGGGGCCTGTTCTCAAGCCTAGGTCTTGCTTGTGTGATGGATCTCCGGGGCCCAACACCAACACCGTCGCTGGGGAAGGGGTCGGGATCTCTGGAGCCGCGCATGGATCATCATCCGATCTGATGGTGTATGGGCGTGCTGCCGTGGAACACAAACGCACGACGATGGCCCCCTGGGGGGTCTTGGGAGGAAGATCGAACACCGCGAGGCGCTGGACGTGATCTGTCGCCTTGGGGGGCTCTGGAGACTCGCGGAAGCCGCAGGAGGCCTCCAAGGACGTCCTGACGAGCTGGGGACCCAAGTTCGGGTTCGGCGCCACGCCGACGGGCTTCAGCGAGAGATGGGCGGGCCTTCTGCAAAGGCTGCGGAGAAAACCGAGAAAGGCCACGACAGGGCGGAGGCCCTCTGAGCCTTCTGGGAAGGCCCGCCTCCTCTGCCTCCCCCCCCTGGGCGCGCCGCCAGTGAACAGAGGGACCCCGCGAGACCCTGCCCTGAGATCCGACGTGCCGAAAAACTGGCAGCAGAGCGGGACAGTCACGACCAGGCCCCGGGACCCAATCCTTCAGCGGCACTCTTCGAGCCAGGTCGATCAGTGATGGCGCCGGGGCCCGAGACAAGGCAAACTCGTCCGTCGTGGAAGAGCTCTTCCGACGCCAGGACCTTGGGGTGGGGTGGGGGGGGGGGCCCTGCAGCAGTGGGCGTGAAGGAGAGGAAGGAGGAAGCCCAGACCTCCGTCGCCATGACGACTGCGCGTCGCGGGCCCCCTATGGGACCTCTATCCCCCACGGGGGCCGCCTGTTTGTGCAGCGTTGGGCCGCTTCCTGCATTGCCCCCCCCTGGGTCTGGAGCGTGCTCCAGACCTGAGATCCTGGCGCCGCATGCATGTCTCTCGCGAGGGACGATTTTTGTGCCATGTTTCTGGCCCGGGACCCCCTCACAGATCAACAGGGCATGAAAGATGCAGACGAAATATGGGGTCTGCTTTGGCCATGATTTTGTCACGCTTGTTTGAGGTCGGGCATGTCCCCCTACAGGCCGATGTTCGATGATTCTTTTTTAACAACAACAAAAGAAATGGCCAACCATACTAAAACAACATAGTCCCCAGACTATTTTTCGACTATGATTGAACATTCCTCCTGTAGAGGGACAGGCCTGGGTTAACGCTTGTTGCATCTTTGTTTGCAACTTCGGACCTCAGAGAGGGGCCAGGCTCTCTTTGAACAAAAACCACAATCTGTTTTTTCATACGAGGGCGGTCTGTTATGTTGCATCTTCGGGGGACCTCGTCTGCCCGCTCTGGCTAACCCTTCGCTCGCGATAATAACCCCCTGGGGATAATAAAATTCGGGGCCCAGGCGGCATAATGAACAATTTCCCTGAAATCTCAGCATAATGATGAAGAAGATGATGACGACGATGATGATCAAGAAGATGATGACGATGATGAACACGATCCGCGTCGAATCCGCGTCGAATCCATACCGCACTTGGCGAATCCGCGTCGAATCTACGTCGAATCCGCATGGAATCCGCGGTGAATCTCCGCCGATTCCGCGCCGACCACGCGTCGGAGATCAGAAAAGGCAGCACCCGACGGGATAGACGACGCCCCCAGGGACTGCATCGCCAGCTCTGGGGAAGCAGGAGGGAAGGAGCGAAAGGAGGAGGACGCCGAACTCGGGGAGCCACGTGCAGACTGAAGACATCGGGTCGTCGGAGATCTCGGCGCCCGTCCGTCACACGAGGGCGGCCGGGGCAGGACGCCGGTCGGGAGGAAGCGGGAGGGGGGGCCCTTAGGCACCCGCGGCCTCGCGGGCGGGGGGCCCGCCGCTGCCCTCGGCGTCCCTGCGGGAGCTGATGGACGACAGCACGATCAGCCAGAAGAAGGACACCAGCGCGACCGACAGGACGCCAGAGAAGCACACGGACATCGCCTTCGGACCTCCGCGCACAGGGCCTCGCCGCCGGCGCCGGCCCCCTCGCCCACGGGGGGCCCCCCCCCAAAACGCGGTGCGCTTGATGGGCCGACTGTCCACCACCGCTACCATAGGTAGGAGAGGGAGGAGGGGAAGGAGGAGGAGGAGGAGGAGGAGGAGGAGGAGGAGGAGGAGGAGGAGGAGGAGGAGGAGGAGGAGGGAAGGAGGAGGAGGAGGAGGAGGTGGAGGAGGAGGAGGAGGTGAAGGAGGAGGAGGAGGAGGAAAAGAAGAGGAGGGCCTCCCGTCCTACACGTGGTAGCGAAGGTGGGAAGTTGACCCATCAAAAGGCAACGGACCGCGCGGTGGCCTCGACATCCCCAGAGACCTCACCGGCACGGCCCGTCGCCGCACGGCCTCTTGGGACCCCGCGGGGCCCCCGGCCGCCCGAGAGGCCTCCCCGCGTAGAGCGATAGGCCCGCGCACCCCCGCAGGGCCGCCCGGCCACCGGGGGTGCCCACTGACTCGCCACGCGGTGTGGTCACCGCAGCGTCTGAGGGACCTGAGGAGGAGGAGGAGGAGGAGGAGGAGGAGGAGGAGGAGGAGGAGGAGGAAGTAGGAGGGGGAGGAGGAGAGGGAGGAGGAGGAGGAGGAGGAGGAGGGAGGAGGAGGGAGGAGGAGGGAGGAGGAGGAGGAGGAGAGAGGAGGAGGAGGAGGAGGAGGAGGAGGAGGAGGAGGAGGAGGAGGAGGAGGAGGAGGAGGAGGAGGAGGAGGAGGAGGAGGGAAGGAGGAGGGAGGAGAGGAGGAGGAGGGGGAGGAGGAGGGGGACCTTCACACGCAGCCTGGCGAGCTTCACACGCAGCCCCCAGAACTCCGAGATGTCTTGAGTCTTTGAACGCGGGGTCCCCGGAGCGGCGGGCCATCCGGCTTTTCGCCCCGGCTCGTGGTTTGACGGTCGCGGGGCCTGGCGCGGACCCCCAGACGCCGAAAACGATGGAACACTGCCGTCCTGACCTCTTCTGTGCTCTATAGGAGGTGTGGGGAGGGGCGATGCGAGGGGGTCCTGGGGCCCCAGCGGGAAGAGGCGTCCGAAGTGGATGCTCCACGGTGTGCACGTCCGCCCTCCTGCCATGAAAGGCACTCGCCAGTGGGCCGGCACCACGCCGAAGGTCACGCACTGCACCGGCCCCCAGAGCAGCCAGTACTTGACCAGGAGGTCGTTCCCCGCATCCTCCACGTATCGCCGCATGCCTGCGGGGAGGTCGGCGTTGAGCGTCAGCGCCTTGATCAGGTACGCGATGGGCAGGCAGAGGAAGGGCGTGAGCACGAACTGGTCGAACAGGACCTTCTCGGATATCGTCAGGAGGTCCTGCCCCTCGCCGAACCACACGGGGTAGCACACGTTGAATATGAAGTACTGCGCGCACCCCTGGTAGAAGCCGCCGTACAAAAAAAAGGCCAAGGTCCGTCGCCAGCTGATGATGGGCCTGTTTTCCGCAACCACCACCATAAGTTATGAGAGGGCGAGGGGGTCCTCCTCCTCCTCCTCGTTCTCCTCCTCCTCCTCCTCCTCCTCCTCCTCCTCGTCCTCCTCGTCCTCCTCGTCCTCCTCCTCCGCCTCCTCCTCCTCCTTCCCCTCCTCCTCCTTCCCCCCTCCAACTTATGGTGGTGGTGGTGGACAACATGCCCATCAAGCTGATGTCCTCCGAACGACTGCCCCGTGCCACCTTCTCGCCCCTCTGCGCGAGAAGATCCGAGGCCGTCGCCTTGGCAGGATTAGAAAACCACCCCCCACGATTTCTGAGGGGGAGGGTGGGGTTCACTTTGCTCGGGCGCTCCCGAACGAAGTGAACCCCACCCTCCCCCTCAGAAATCGTGGGGGGCAGGCGTAGGGTTTGCATGTGGCTCCCTAAGGATCAGCCCGCACCGCATCGGAAACTCATCGGACCGCAGCGAAATGTGCGTCAGATCGGGCTGAATCTCAGAGGAAGCCAGGACGAGGATCAAATGGGGCGAGGATAAATCGAGAATCTCTGAGATGTGGCGGCTCTGGACGATGTCTCGGGCGCCGCGGCCTCCTCAGAGCGCTCTGGGAGGCTCTGAGAGCGTTCTGGAACGCTCTGGAACGGATTTCCCCTCGTCCTGGCCCCGTCTGAGTATCGGCACGGAGCCGAAACCGAACTGGATCGGCTGCGCCGAAGTACACCTCGGCGCCACGCAACGATCGTGCCACATCGGACCGTCGGAGTATCGGAGCGGAGTCGGACTTGGCCGGCCAGAACCGATGTCGAATCGGATCGATCGGACGCCCTGACCCTCCCCTGAGATCCGACGTTGCGAAGCAACTGTGACATCGCAAAACATCACGACGGGAGCTCCGACCCCCATCGTGCCGCGCCACTGCTCGAGCCCGACGTCGATCCGTGGGGGCCCCCGGGCCCCGAAGCTGGGCGCAGGCGCCCGGCTCGAACAGCTCAACCGAGACGCCAGGATCTCCGGGTTCGAGTTGGGATCGACTGCAGAATTGATGCTCGTACCCGAGAACTGATTCCCTCGTCGAGTCGACGACACATGCGCACACTGTTCGTGCCCATACGAGCTTTATGTGTACGCATCTCGTCGTAGATCCGACGAGGCAATCTGTTGTGGGGGGAGATCGATGTTGCAGTCGATCCCCTGCTCGCAGGGCTGTCCTCGCCCCTGCCCTGCCTTGATGGAGGCGACGAAAAAAGCCGCCTGGTAGGGCTGCGTGCTCAGCCAGGCGTCCACGGACTCCAGCACGGCCGCCTCCAGAAGGAGGACAAAACCATAGAAGCATAAACCTGTGGCGCTCCGCGCGGCTTTCTCGGACCCGCGCTGGATCCCCCTCCCTGGCGCGCGGAGCGCGCCAGAGACGGCGCCAGAGGCGCCGCCAGGGGGGCCCCAGCCCAGACCCCCGACGTCATGATTTTTTCATGACGTCGACCCCCAGAGGTCTGGACCCATTCCCCGGGACCGGTTTTTCATCCTGAGTCGTTTTTTTGACGGTCCCGAGAGCCGGTAAGGGCCCCCAGAGGCCAAAAATCATGAACCTCCCGTCGTGATTTTTTCACAACTCGAGGGGGTCTGGGAGTGCGGATCCAAGAAAACCGCGCGGAGCGCAAAACAAATTTATGTTTCTGTGCTTTTCTTCGCCGAGCCTCGCCGGAGGCCCTCGCGGTTGCCCCGCGTCGCCGACCGGCGGCGCCGGGGGCCGGCCCGGCGCGGGCGCGCCCCGGGAGCGCAGGGCCGAGGATCGGGGGCCTGGAGGTTGGCCCCAGCATCAGGTCGGGAATGTCCCCCTACAGGCGGATTTTACAAGGAAGATCAAAAATAGTCAACGAACATACCCCCAAATGGTAAAAAAAAAAAACAAGAATGAAAAATCGTCCCCATACAATTTGTTGGACTATTTTTGAATATTCCTCCTGTAGAGGGACATGCCCGACTCAACCCCAGCATCAATACATCGACGGCCACCTTCACCGAGGAAGTGGGGAATCGCGACGTCGATGCGGGCGGTCGTGGACTCGAGCCTCTTGGAGGCCTGACTACTGTCGGGAACTTCTGCTCAGCGCGTCGCGGCGGCAGTACTGGCGAAACGCCATGGCCTGCGAGCGGATAGCGTGTCGCTCCGCTCCGCGGAGCAGGAGGCTGGGACAGGCTCGGGACATTGACGCTCGGGGACTGGGACATGGATCGCGTGCCGCTCCAGAGCGTGGCAAGCCGCAGCGGGCGGTGCGCGACACGCCAAGCTCCTGACCGTAGGTGGTGCCGCCATCACCAGCCCTTGGGGGTCCCTCGGTGGAAGCAACCGCTGGTATTGGTGCGCCGACTTCCTGGCCTCCGAGAGGAGGGTGCGGCCCGGGAAGCACCGCGAGAGCAGGGCGAGCGCTGCCAGCCACCAGCGGCGATGACCCGCGCGCCCCATGGCGCTCTGCGGCCCTGGCCTCCGCTGGTGCACCCAGGCGAGCCAGAAAGGCTGCGGACGCCTGCGTGGCGCAAGAACCGTCGGCAGGAATGGACGCTGGAGCGGGATGATGGGCCTGTGTTCCACCACCACTACCATAGGTAGGAGAGGGAGGAGGAGAAAGAGGAGGAGGAGGAGGAGGAGGAGGAGGAGGAGGAGGAGGAGGAGGAGGAGGAGGAGGACCCCCTGCCCCTCCTACCTATGGTGGTGGCGGTGGGAAACAAGCCCATGTAGACAATCCGAGCGGTCAGAGGGCTCCGTCCACTCCCCCTCCAGCTATGATGAGGCCAGCGGCATCGAAGACTCAAGCCGGTCCGCTCCACCAATCATCCCACAACATCCTCGGGCGGTTCCGCCTGACAAAGTTCACCTCTTTCAAACTTGAAAACAATCCAAGCAACACTGGTGTACCGTCCCGTCCACTGGTCAATTGCTCGAGCCGCTGTCAGCCGTGGCAGAAAGAACCGCCTCCTCCTCCTCCTCCTCCTCCTGTCGCGGCGCAGCGGGTCACGCACCGCGACGTGGCCTCCTTAATGTCGACCGCTCGCTGCGACACTCCTTTCCTCAGACCCCCCTCACAGGAGGTAACTCTTGGGAACGCATTCGTGTGAAAGGAAAATATGAAGAAGCCCGATGCAGGTGCCACCAAGCCAGCTCAAGCCACATAGAATGAATGCTAAAATCAAATTTCAAATTCAGCGGGATTCAGCTAACTGAGCGGACCTAGGCTGGAATAAAGAGGTTTTCGGCCGCTGGCTATACCAGCGCCGATGTTGAACGTAACCGTCCAAGGGTAGCAACCGAGCTTCCTAGACCTCCGCCGCCGTGATTCTTTCGCAGCGTGGACACCCGGAGATTCGAACTTCGGACCAGCTTGTCGTCCCGAGTCGTCTCTTGACAGCCCAAGGGGCCTGCAAGGACCGCCCGGAGGCCGCAACATGGCAACACAAATTCACGGCGTGCTGTTTTCGCAACGAGACGGCCCTGAGATCCGACATCGCGAAAAATGCGCAGCGTCGCCAATAAGCACGACGGAAACCGTCTAATTGCATCATCTTCCTGCTGCATCCTCCGAGCCGGATCGATCTGTGATGGCCTGGGGGCCCGAAACACTCTCAGGTCCGGGCGACGCCATGTTTTTACAACCGGCGATGTTGCCTTGGTTCGTGCCCCCAGACCACCACAGATCGATCCGGCACGAGGAAAAAACATAACCATGGCGTCTATAGGGCTCCGGTCTTGATGTGTCGCTAGGTTACATTTTTTCTGCAGCGTCTCATCCCCCAGGCCCCCGACGTCATGATTTATTCATGACGTCGGCCCCCAGGGGTCTGGACCCATTCCCCGGGACCAGTTTTTCGTCCCGAGTCGTTTTCTGACGGTCCCGAGGGTCGGCAAGGGCCCGCAAAGGCCAAAAATAAAAAAAAACATCCCGTCGTGATTTTTTCATGACTGGAGGGGGTCTGGGTGTGTCGCTAGGTTGCATCTTTCTGCAGCGCCTCATCTCGGGGCACGGCAAACACCGCCCGCTGTGAACACACTGCGGCGCCAGACTCTCAGGCGGCCCAGGCCGCCGACGGCATGCAGTTTTCATGACGGGGACCCCCAGCGGTCTGGACCCATTCCTCGGGACCGACCGGTTTTTCGTCCCAAGTCTTAGGTCGGGCGTCTCCCCCTGCAGGGGGATTTTCGATTCAACATTTTCTTTAAAATATGAAACGAATGCCCTAAAAATGCTCAAAAATATAGCCCAAAAGTGGTATCCATATCATTTTTTACTATTTTTGAATATTCCTCATGAAGCCCGGCTTAACCTATGTCGTTTTCGGACGGTCCCGGGGCCGGGTAAGGGGTCGCGGGGCTCCCCGGCCACCACCGGGTCAATGCTGAGCAACACTGTCAATGCCTCGCTGTCCTAAAGCGTTGCTGTGCTCCTGCTCGTTAACATATGTCACGTGTGCGGAGCTACGCTGTCAATGCCGCGCTTCCCTGTGGCTGTGCGGTGCTCCTGCTCGCAACGCGCACCGCCAAGGGCGGTGGAGAGCTTGAGAGATCCATCCGCAAAAAGAAACCGAAAACTTCGAACAACTCCCCGTCATGACTTCTCACGACGGGGACCCCCAGCGGTCTGGACCCCCTCCCCGGGACCGGCTTTTCGTCCCAAGTCGCTTTTGAATGGTCCCGAGGCCGGGTAAGGGCCCCCATGGAAGCCGAAACTGGTGAAAACCTCCCCGTCCTTGCGAGAAAAGCAGGAGGCGATTCTGCACAGGGTCCCAGAAAGGACCCGGTCTTGGCCCAGAGGGCCCCCACAAGAAGCCCAGGATGCCGAGGCACCGTGGCAGAAAGCGGCGACCATGGCCCGCGGGGCTCGAGGAGGAGGAGGAGGAGGAGGAGGAGGAGGAGGAGGAGGATCGAGGAGGAGGAGGAGGAGGAGGATCGAGGAGGAGGAGGAGGAGGATCGAGGAGGAGGAGGAGGAGGAGGAGGAGGAAGGAGGAGGAGGAGGAGGAGGAGAGGCCGCCCCCGCCCGCAGCCCCGCGGCCGCCTCCGCCGCCTCCGCCGCGCCCCCCGCGCCCGCGGCGCCGCCGGCGCCCGCGGCGCCCCCGGCGCACCCCGGGAGCGGCACCGGCGTGGAGGCGCGCACGAGCGCCTCGGCCGGGCGTGGGCGGGCCCAGAGGTCGGGCGTCTCGAAAAAATCGAGACGGCAGTGTTTCTCGACTGTCGGCCTCCATCGTCGGCTGCCTGAGTGTAGCTCGAGGAGCTGGTGGCGAGCTCTCGGGGCCAGCGGGAGGCGCACATTCCAGGGTGCGGCGTATCGGAGGAGCGCGAACATGGCCTGAGGCGTGCGGATTCGCGACGGGTCCCGAGTCCATACGAAATCGACGCGCTCCCAGACCTCCAACAAACAGAAAGAATCGAAACGCAGGTTTTTGTCGATTTCCGGTCTCTAGCGGCCCTCGCCGGGCCCCGGGACCGTCAAAAAACGTCTCGGGGCGAAGAACCGGTCCTGGGGAACGGGTCGAGACTTCCGGAGACCCCGTGCTGAAAAAATCACGACGTCGGATCTCTGGGGAGCTGCATCGATGTACAGCTCGTCGGCGCAAAACTCGATGGCGTTCGTATGACGTGATGTTGGGGTTGGTACCCGAGGGGCGGTCTTCATCCCTAGGACTGTGGGCGACGACCCTATGAGGGCTGAGCCCTAGGTGCCAAATGCTCGTGGTCTAAGTGCCGAAGAGCGCGGTTGGAGATTTTTAGTGACGTGTCCGGGGGGCGGCCCCCCCCGCCCCGTTCCACTAACCAGAACTGCTGCCACCTGCAAAATCACCAGCTTCCCCTGAGAGCTGCGGCTCCCAGGGGTAGCAACGTCGAGACCTTGCCAAGAAATTGCAACATCGCAGAAAATCACGCCAGGAGCCCCAGACCCCATCTTTCTGCGTCATTTTTCAAGCCAGATCGATCTGTAAGGGTCCCAGGGCCCGAAAATGAAGCGAAAACGCCCGTTGTGAATAAATTGCATCGCCAGCATCTCAGGGACGGCAGACCTGGTTAAGTGATTCTGGCCAATTTAGGGGCTCCGGGGCCCGTCGTGATTTTTTCAGAACTCGAGGAGGTCTGGGTTGACCCCCCATCGTGCTTAAGGACCACATCCCAAAAATACTTTCGAGCACCCGGAGAAAAGTGTCGAAGCAGCGTCGAAGCAGTGTCGGACGAGTGTCTCCCAGGGCCCGACACGTGAAAACCCGCGAGTTTCGGTACTTCCCTGGTGCTCGAAATTCTTTCTGGCGGTCAAGGCTAAAGTAGGTTGGAACATCATAAGCTTGACCATGGATGTCACAGCCGCCCTCGTCAGATAAAGGAGTCCTCGAATGTCTGACGCCTCCAGGGTCTGACGCCTCCAGGGTCCTTCACGAACGCCCTCCCCCCCAGTGCTTTGCTTTATTTTCCCCTCTCCCCCACGACGGCATCCATGAGCAGCGACCTCAGAGGAGCTCCATGCAGGCGAATGCCAGGCGACCCTGGGCAACATCCCGCCCGCCAGACCAGACACTCAACAAAAGGCTCGCGGCTCGAGGGCCCACGTGTTTGGGCGCACTGGGACCTTGCTGTTTCAGTGGCTCGTGGGGCCGCCCTCGCGGCCCTCTCGGCGCCGCGACCTCTGCGCGTCGTCGCCATCGTCGCCCCTCCTCGACGCCGTGGTCGTCGTCGAGGAGGGGCGACGATGGCGTCGTGACCTCTGCGCGTCGTCGCCGTCGTCGCCCCTCCTCGACGCCGTGGCCGCCGTCGGGCGCCGACGGTCGTGGCCGTGGGCGCCGGTTGTCGTCGACGGCATCTCCGCTCGTCGTGTCCGCCCGACGCCGTTGCCGTGGCCGTCGCCGTCGCCGTCGCTGTCGCCGTCGCTCGTCGTCGCCGTCGTCGTCGTCGTCGTCGTCGTCGTCCTCGTTGTCGTCGTCGTCGTCGTCGTCGTGGTCGTCGTCGTCGTCGTCGTCGTCGTCGTCGTCGCCGGGCCGTCACTACTCCCGACAACTTCCCTGGGCATCGTTTCTGGATGGGCTGGTGGGGCAATCCCACCAGCCATCTGGGCGTGAGTAGCTTACGGCGTTTCCTCTTCCTGCTTCTTCCCCTCTTGGGACGGGTGTATCCTGGCGGCGCGCACAAGGGGGTGGAGGGAGGGGGGAGGGCTTCTCAGAAGGAGGCTGCTTCTTAGAAGCGCCCAGCCACATCTATAGATAAGGCCCGCGCCTCCTAAGAAGCAGGGGTGCTTCTAAGAAGTCCTCCCCCCTCCCCCCACCCCCCTCTGCGCGTGGCTGAGGATCACTGTTCCCTGTTGCTACACTCCCTTCCTCTGGCGGCCGGCAGCCAACCTGGACCCATGGAGGGAATCCCCCCTCCACCCCTTTCAAGTACTCGAGACGTACCCGTGCCCTTCTTCGCGCAAGGCGTGTATTTGCATGAACGCCCTATACAAAACAAAACATCGCCAAACATGCACAGTCAGGGCTGCCCGTGCTAC